AGGGGGTGCTAAAAGCAAGCCAAAATTGCCTAGTTCCCCTTTAATCAAATGTTAAAGTTACATCACCTGGCTTATTGCCATATCGGTTTATTTTCACCTCATCTGCCTTCAGCTATTAGCTTTCCTGTTTTAATTATTTTTTCATCACTGCCCTTTGTAAAATCTTTGTCCTCACATCCTTAACACTCACAAGGCCTCAGAACTTCAATAGACTGATCGATTCGTCACTCAGAAAACATCCGAACTGGAGCGCTGCGATGGCCGGAATGTTGAAATTGAATGGATGGCTCAGACATGAACATAGTCGCACAATTTCTGCAAACATGATACTGCGGGATTCCTATGTTGCAGCATGTCAACTCCTTCTTGCTGCCAGATAAGGTGTATTTTCAGCTCAGATGGCTAAAATGTGCTTACACATGTCGCTTTAAAGAGGTAGGAGAGTATTGAGTAAAGGAAAAGGAGGCAGGAGCTGAGGTGAAACTGACGCATGCTGCAATGTCGTGTAAATGTCAGTCTAATTCTGATACGCTAAACGTCCTGAGCTCTACTCAGCTCCGTCAAAGTCACAGAGTGCGGTATAAGTGAGTGCTTAGGTGCATTTTCACAGAAATACTAACACTTAAATGTCACTCAGAGTGTGAAACTCTCTGGTGTAAAGGAGATGGGCAGTTTAACAGCCACGTTTCCAGATCACATCTAATGATGTAAAATCAGTGTCTCACGTTGAGTTCATGGTATTTCACCCATAATTCATATGGATGGCGTGGAAGCACAAGACACAGACACACCCACACCTTCTGGCAGCACACCATGGAGGTTAGGGGACTGTAGTGAAGGACAGCAAACTGGAGCAGTAAGCACATTTCATCAGGGGATAGAGTTACACACACACACACACACTTCTGTTTCTATCACCTCAGAGGACATTACATTAGGTTTGGGTCTATTTTGCATGACTCTAACCTAAAACTATTATTGTTTTTTAGTTGCCCAAACATTTATTCCATATGACGTCCATGTCCTCGTTCACACATATCTGACCCCCATGTTGTCTCTAAGCATTGCCCCTTCTCTCGGTCACAACATATTTACGTCCACACACCATTTACAACATCCTGCTCTGTACGATTGAGCTATAAACAGCTCATCCATGTTTGTGCCGTGTCTGTTCTCTCCATATGCAGCAGAGCGACTGACAGCTTATTCAGTCAGGATTGGTTTTTAATGTTTCTTCATGTAGATGATGGGCATTTTTCTCCTTTAATTATAAAAGGCTATGATAAAAAAGTGACACTTGCTGAAATCAGAAATTAGAACTTTAAAAAGTCAATCAAGAAAATGCATTTTCTCTTGATAGTTTTCACAAGCATTTTTATTAAATGGATATTTTTCTTGAAGCTTAAAACTCAGGTGGTAGCGGAGGTTGTCCAGCAATCAGAGGGTTGTAGGTTTGACCCCAGCTCCCACGAGAAAATGCTGCTGTTGTGTCCCTGGGCAAAACACTTAACCCTCCTTTTCTGCTGGTGGTGGTTGCAGGGACCGGTGGCACTAGTTTTCAGCAGCCTCACTTCTGTCAGTGTGCCCCAGGGCAGCTGTGGCTACATTGTAGCTTATCATCACCAACATGTGAATGTGTGTGTGTGAATGGGTGAATGATTGATTGTGTTGTGAAGCGCCTTGGGGAATTGTAGAACCCTAAGAAGACGGTATACAAATACAGGCCATTTACCATTAAAAAACATTATGTAGAAATTAAGTAAAATGACATCCTGTGGTAAAATTTGGTTTGAACAACTCCCGAGCTCTTTGCCGGCCGTCATCAATTTAAAATTGTTGGTGCTGCAGTATTAGCTCATTGGAGATACGGCAACGCCACACTCACTGATGGTAAACAGTAGTTAGGTCTCTCCTTCATTTGTTTTGAAAGGAGGAAAACTGACAATCTCCACAGCCAGCTGGATATAAAATATGTTTCATTATAACATTTCTTCAAAAAAGACGGAAACATTAGACTATTTTGGGATTTTCCCACTGTGAAATTCTCACTATATTCTTACTTGTTGCACCTTTAAAAAGTTCTAACACAGCATAAGACTTCTTACTTCAGTAAGAATAGGAATAAAAATAAGGATATCTGGTAGCTTTGAATCAGCCCTTAAAATTAGGTTAGAGGGATCTCAAACAAATTATGTACCTATTAAAAATGACCTTTCATTCGTTTCCAGGTTTGTTGAGAAAAAATATATATGTTTTGCTTCAGATGAGGACTTCTATTCATTTGCTCGTTCCTAAATCTGTTTCTCCCTGTTGTAATTTCTGAGTGAATCTCAGTAGTGTAAATGTACTCTTACTAGTACAAACCAACTACTTCTGCAAAAAGGAAAATATTCTAGAGGCTGTGTTGTGTTTAGTAGGAGGTAGGAAAACCGACAGTAGTAACTTCATGGATCGTTATTAGGGGAGAGGAACAATCACACACGTACTCACATTCTCTCAGCAGCACTCTGGAACCTTCTTTTACACCTCTTCATCTTTGTTTTCTTCTTCTTCTAATAGGCTGTTTGGAGCCGGAAACTTAAGCTTTAATTAACCTTTATTTTTCATGCGCCTGGTGAAAATTTGAGATCTAAATACATTTATTTCTGATGAAACTATAATGACAATAAAATGTAAAGTTTATCTAACAGCATTCATCTCAAACAGCACCTTCCACTCCAGCAATGCCAGATTTTTCTGTTGTTGTTTATTTTCCGTTCTGACACGTCCGGACTCCTGGATAGCTCAGCTTTTGTTTCATTCGTCCCTTTTTTCCACCTTAAGGATGAAAGCGCAGCCGCATCTCATTTTCCTCTTACCCTTCAGATATCATTGCTTCCTTTGAAGCAATGATATCTGAAATCACACAGATTTCCCTGATTAATCCCTTTTCATGCCTTTCCACAGTAAATAATTACAGTTATGATCACTGGCGGGCTAGAGAAGACAGCGTGCAAATTTCTGACGGAGCAGAGTCCCCGGGTATCTTCATTAGCCTGATTATTCTGATCCAAACACACTCCATCAACCAGTTTACATGCAAATAGGTTAATTTGATTCCAGCTCCCTGCTCGCTCTGCTGTTTAACAGATGAGGTCCTAACCACGTGTCTGTTTTGTTCAGTCTTTATCTCCACAGTTCCATAGCTTGAAATGTGCCGAATGTTACTGATGAATACTTAAGTTAATTAAGTCAGTGAGCTGTTTTACAGAGCTTGTGTTGAAGATCACCAACATGTTCAGCCAAACATCACTGCTGAAAGAGGTGGGTTTCTGCTGCCCTCTAGTGGTAAAAGCTTCACATTTCAAGCTTTGGATGTTTCATTTAAAGCAAAACACTTCTGCCACAAGGGGGCAGTGCAGCTGTTTCATTTCCGTTGCTTCTGACAAACAAATTTGCTGTCAGATGTCTACCTATGAATTACAGATGATCGTTGAGTATCTTTTTTATTTCATGGTATTATTTTGAATGCAGATAAACTCCCTGTTCCCTCAGAGGCTCTGTTGCTATGTGTGAAGTTGTGCAGCAGCAGTGAAGATGAAGAGCTGCTGCTCTGACTGCCCCTCTCTCCTCAGGATTAGAGAATTAATGCAGCTGTTCAGACACTGAACTCTGATCATCTGCTTAATCGTGTTTTATCCCAAATAACGCGGCTTGATGACGAGTGCTTTTATTGCAGACATGTGAGACATTTACATTTAAACTGCTCCTAATAAAACTAACATGTCAAACTGAAAAAAATTAACTACATCTGGACAAAACCAATAATTTTGAATTACTCAGATTATTTTTTTAATCAGATTATGTTTTTAAGGGGTTTCATAAAAAATGTTTACTTGTTTATTGGTTGTTTTTTACTGCATTTCCCACAATATGAAGTTTCTGCATAGTCATCAACAATTTGAAAAGTTTTTACCTATAAGAAAGCATTAAAAATAAAGATATCCTAAAGAAAACACCACCAATATCTGGAAAAGTGGGTCATCCAGATTAACAGTCATCGGGGTCAGAGGTCACAAAGGATCAGAGTGAATTCAGACCTCTTTTGTCTCTTCTCTTTTAAACAGCAAATCTCCTTTATCTCAAAAACTTTGGTGCATCAAACCTCTGTCATTGATGTGTGATGAGAGGTAGATGAATGTAAGGTGTAGGAGTCCAGCAACCAGAGACGTCCTACTATTTTAAGTCCTGTTGTTTCAGAGTGAAGCTCTGTTAGAAGTGAAAACGTACTCTTACCAACACAAACACACACACGCGCGCACACACACACACACACACACACACACACACACACACACACACACACACACACACACACACACAGGCTTATGTTAATCCTTGTAAAAACAAAGCGATAAATTTCTCTCAGCACAGATCAAGAGTGGGATGTTCATCAGCATGTTTGTCAGGATTAAAAAAGAAAATGTCATCCAGCGAGTAACCTCTGACATCCAAAGACAACGTTTTAGATGGTGAAATTAAGCAAATGTTGTGCAGAAACACCCAGAAAATGACCAGCAGACATCAATAAATGACTGGTGACCATTCCCACCATTGAGTCCTGACCCTGATTGACCTTGTGACCCTTATAACTGACCTCTCAGTGGGTGGCCTTTATACTGGCCAGCGAGAGAAGTGGCTGCCCTCAGAGCAGATTTCTGTTCCATCTTTTATATTGGAGCTTTTCTGACTGTGTGTGTGCAAACGGCGGGATTGATGGTGTTTATCTGAGTATTTAGTTGTGTTTTGAGTCAGTGTCAGGGCAGGATTATTTTGACCCAGAGTCAGCGAGGAGAGAAGTCTGCACAGACACGTAAACCATAACTCTTTATCTGACAATCCAGCCTCATGAAGCCAACCTTCATTAAAAGACAGGATTAGTGCAGCTGAAGCCCTGGGGGCTGCACACATGAATAAGTACGAAGCAAACCTATCATTGTATCTGACAAACCACAAAACAATGACGTATTTATAATTTAATACAAATATTTTGCTCCACAAGAAACACAGATGAATAGATTTACAACAGAAAAGCAGACAGTACAAAGATTTCAGTATTTTGACCTGCGAATGTATTATTATTATTATTATTATTATTATTATTATTATTATTGATGTTGTTGTTGTTGTTGTTGTTGTTCTTGTTGTTTTTTGCCACAAATGAATTTCCCACCTTTTTTTTTGTTTTATAATATTCAACAGCCACAATTTAAAAAAGGATTATTTACAAATCTACCTCTGAGTGGGCTTGGAGTGCAAAAACATCAAATGCTAAAAGGACACACACACAAAATAACTATAAGGGACTTAACTAGACTAAAGAGAAGCCTTGACAACAAATTTTCACAAAAGAAGCAAAACACTCATATCAGAACAAACTCCACATACAGTGTTAAATTAACGAATAAATAACAATTATTAATGAATCTTTTGTGTTGCCAAAGCTAAATTAGAAGTGCAACAGGTCAAAATGGCTAAAGTCAGGACATGTAAGGTCCCTGGATCATTTGGTAATCACTTCTGAAGGTCAGTGGTTGGTTAAAAGTCAAGCATTTTCTAATGAACAGTAACAGTGATGAGCAGTGCTAGCCTATAGTGCAAATGCACAACATATGTTAAAAAAATAAAGCTACAGATCGTCTACAGGCAGTCCATCATCTGAGAGATCATTCTGAGACAGTGGGGTCAGGGGTCATGAAGGATCTGACATCCATCTAGTCTCTGTAGATGGACGGCCTCTGTCTAGGGATCATGTGTGGTGGGTGGTACGAGTCATACGGCCCGTCTAAGTGAGCTTCATATCCAGTCTGATAGAGAACCTGGTCTACAGGGGAGGGGGAGTATTGGTGCGGGGGTGGGTAGTGGGGTGATGGCTCCTGTTTGGGTACCAGGTTACTGCTGATGCTCAGGGGGGGCGTAGGGGGGCCATCATATGGTGGGGTCCCCACACCTCCAGCGTTATACTCGTGTGGTGAGTGGTTCTCATACTGCTGTGCTTTTATGGCCCTCAGATGAAGCATGTGAGCTGAGTCATAGGTGCCGTACGGAGGGCTTGGCAGGCCTGGGGAGGCATAGCTGGCCATACCAGCATGAGGATTAGGAGGTGGACAAACTCCATGTCTGTCTTCAGGACTCATCCCAGTCCCAGAAGCTGGTCCCAACTGTAGGCAGCCAGCCACCAGGTTGGTTGTGGGTTGTGAGAGTCCCTTACACAGCGTCTCCATGAAAGCTCTGCTCTCTGTAGACAGACCCCCATCCAGAGCCTCAGTCAGAGCACAGATATAGTTGCGGGCAAGTCGTAGAGTCTCAATCTTAGACAGTTTCTGTGTTTTGGAGTGACAGGGCATGATGCTGCGCAGATTCTCCAGTGCATCGTTCAAACCGTGCATGCGCGAGCGCTCCCTGGCGTTGGCTTTTATACGTCTAGCACGGAAACGCTCCTGTCGGGCCTTTGTCATTCGCTTTTTTTTGGGTCCTCGCCGCTTGGTCTCATTTTCATCTTCCTGTTCTTCCTGTCCTTCCTGCTCCTCCTCCTCCTCCTCCTCTGCATCCTCACTTCCCATCTCTGGGGTCTGTTGGTTTACTCCACCTGCTCCGTAGCAGTGGGATGGGACAGAAGAGTTTCCTTCTGGTGAGCTTGTGTCTCCTTCTATCCACTGCAGAGGGCTGACAACCTCCTCGCCCTCCACTGCTCTTGTATAAGATTTAGTCATCATGATGTTCTGCAGAAAAGTCACAAACATGGACATTTGTTTCTGACAGATTCATAAATTATGCATATTTAGGGAAAAAAAGATTAAAATCATACATGCTTAAAGTCTATTTCGGCAACACACTCTAAATTTGTGATTCTGTCTTTGCTGCTTCAGGTAATGAGTGAAATAAAACATAATAAACAATAAGGCTTGGTTTAACATTGTGCTATGACGCCTCTATAAAGGCTGTTTAAATTTTCTGAATTGCTTTGGATTGTGAAAATGTTGCTGCTGTTTGCTTTAAGACTTAGAACCAAACTTAGTTCTGAAATAGAAAATACATGGTGTTTGACAATATTGTGTTTATTTAACAAATTGACAGTTTATAGACAAAATAAACAAACTCTAAAAAAGTATGCAACACTAAAAGGCTCTGTGAATAACTTTGAATAAGGTTTCCTTCTCCATGATGAAGATTAAGAGTAATGTTTATTGGGAATTCTCATTTTAATTGCAAATATGTTCACCACTTCTCCAAAAATGGTTAAAATGTAGCATTTATTGTCCTCCAAGAATTGTTTTAGCACAATTTTGGCTCATTTTGGGTGAACGGTCTTACCTGGCTTAGTGACACCAATAAACGTAGTGGGACACAGCAAAAGCTTTCAACAGAATATATTTTCTAAAATGAGTCTAAAAATCTCATAACACCATAAGTTTACAGTTTTACACTTGTGCAAAACTTTTTTTGCAAGTATAGCAGAAACCATTTGGTAGTTTGATTTTTCAGTCTTTTAAGTTTGTTTCCTTTTTTATTGATCTAAGAAAAAAATAACTTCGTATTTTAAAACATTGAAGGAATGCAACCAGGATTTAATTGGTTGATTACCTTTTTTGTAAAAGAACGAGAGAAGTACATTTATTCTATTTTCAATACCAATGTGTATTTCTAATAAGGACGCATTGAACCAAGAGCATGTCTGGGCCAACACGACCTCGTTATGGGTTTGTAAAAGATTAAAGTTTTAAGTGAAACAAGTATTTATTAACTAGACCTAAAAACCATCAGTAATAATGTGGAAAATCGTGTCTCAAAGCGGCTTTTTAACGTTTCAGCACCGGACAGTTCCCTCCACACTCCTGAAGCAAAGGCGCTTCTGATTGGTCGAAACACTTTATTAACCACTAGATCTTCGTCAGATTGAAGGTTAATTGATGCAGTTTTTTATATATACAAAATAAATGAGTTGTCTGCTGTGTCCCGCTCTCCCCCTTCTTGGGGTCAGCTTAATCCGGGTCGTTTTGTGAACTGGTAAATCACTCCAATCTGGGGCAGCGCGGGATTTACTCCGTGGATGAAGCGACAACCATAGGATTAAAGGAAAGATCGACATCCTCCAGCCCAGACCACTGGCTTTACGGATGGCTGCAGGTCGAATTAAAGCAGACATTCTTCTAAACAGGGAAACAATGCCCCGTTTGTGGCATACTATCAGATGCAGTGTTAATATTTTAAATTATAATTGAAAAACTACTTAATTTCCTGGTGATTTAAAGTGAAATAGAGTTTAGAAGAGAGTCTGGAAACTGTGAGACCTACCAGTGCAGATGCGTTGCGGGAATTCTGGAGGAAGTTTGTTTTTTAGTCCAAAGATGTCAGACTGGACCGTCTGCACATCAAACAGAAACGAGGTTCGGTTGTGTCTCCGTCCAGTCCTTCAGAATCTTTGTGCGGGTCACTCTGCTGGGGTACCCGGTTTTAACTTCCCCGTTTAAACCCCGCCCACTCCCCTCCCGTTGACGCGCTTAAGCTCGCGCGTGGCTGGCCCGTGGCTCTGACCCCCAGGAGCTCCACCACTCGTCTGAGCGCGCGCGCGCGCGTGTGTGCGTGTTCAACACACATAAACCTTCCAGACAAACAGAAGAGGCCCTGGCTTTTGTTGCTTCCTTAAATCCGCAGCAGGGTTTGCGCTGATCGGAGGGGAGACGCGCTCAGCCGCCTGAGCCTAACTGCATGTGACAGCTTCAAGTTCCATGATGTGAGCAGGTGTTTTCTCCTCTCGTCTTGCATCCATCCACCCACCCATCCACTATCTATACATCCATCCATCCATCCATCCATCCACCCACCAAACCATCCATCCATCCACTATCTATACATCCATCCATCCATCCACTATCTATACATCCATCCATGCATGCATCCATCCATCCATCCACCAAACCATCCATCCATCCATCCATCATCCATCCACCTATCCACCCACCCATTCATCCATCCATCCATTCATCCATCCATACATACATACATACATACATACATACATACATATATTCATCCATCCATTCAGCCATCCATCCACCCCAATTAAATTCTGATATGCTAATGAACATCTTGGCTCTTATCTCAAAACATTTGGGAGTCATCCCATCCCTTCTCTGCTCTACTGAAGAGCTTATGGATTTTTAAATTTGGCAATATACAGGAAATGTATCCTAGCTTGTGAACAATTTAAACTTAAAATGTGGCAGATTTATTTGGAATTCTTTCTATTTTAATTATTACACACGCTAAATCTGTTTATTTATCTCAGTGAGCTGTGAAATGGTATTTAGCACAGCATAGCATAAACCCATTAAAAAATAAAATCTAATTTTAATGATAAAATCTAATTGATTCTAACTGAAAGTAAACATGGAAGATAATCACTAAACTTAGTGACTGATTAACACCTGCAATTATGTGTTTGTGAAAACTGGACCCTCAAATTATTTTAATTCAGCTAAGTTGAAGGGGCTTGGTGAGCTCTGGATAATGACCAGGGGCTTCATTTATCAAGCTTGCTTACGCACAAAACAGGGTCGGAAAACTGTGTTAGCAACTTTCCACGCAAACTTTGGGATTTATGAAAGAAAACTTAGTGGAAAATGTGCGCAACTTTAAGTTGACTAAGGACCTGGCTTACGCACATTTTGGACATGGAGAGCACCTGCAGTGCTGCTGCTGAGAAGATACAGTTATGAAATCCTGCAGCATTATCACTTGTACTGCTTCGTTTTCACACAGAACAAGACCCCCCACACTCACACACACATGCACTCGCGCGCGCACGCACGCACACACAAACACACAGCCTGAAGCACTGAATACGGAATGCGGAATATCAGCAGGGGGACAGATTGAGACAGAATGTCATGCGTCTGTGACAGTGTGTGTGTCCTGTCACTGTGACCCGATTGATCATGCACCTTGGCTACTTGTACAGGGGAGATCTCTGTTTGGCTGACTGGTTAGCGTGTGTGACTTTCACCTGGAAGTCTAGAGATTGAATCCCGATTGGACCATTTTTTTATATCTGCCACAGACCTCTCTGAATTCACAACATTGACGGCTTCAGCAGCGCTGTGCCACTCCGTGGATTTTCTCTTATTTGTTTTGCAAAAGCACTTCCTTTCATTTCTCCACCTCACCCACAAGTACCTCAGTTTCTGCTTCTGTGAAATTGCGCTTCCTTGATCTACGGTCGCCATGTCAATGGCGAAGCGCTGCAACAGCCGGCTTATGTATATGCATGAGATCCACAAGGCACTTTGCATTGACTATTTATGGCAGTAAGCGGGCGTGGTGAGGGTGCCAGGCGGGATGTGACTAAAACGCAGCTGAGAAACATTCGTTAGTCTCCGATTTATGAAGCGGAGATTGCATGCAGCTGAGCGTACTCCATGATCACAAACCTACTTGGCGTAAGTACTTTTTTTTGCTGAGCTTAAGTACGGTTTTAGTAAGGATTCTACGCAATGTTTGATAAATGAGACCTCTGAAGAACAAATTGTTATTACAAGCAGCTGAAGCAAGTTTCCTTCCCAATGCGGCTGGGCTTAGACTTCGAGAGCTGCTGCTCTTCTACATTTAGAGGAGCCAGCTGAGATGTTTTCGGCAGCTTGTTCAGATGTCATGTTGTGGTGAAGTGATCTAACCCACGACATACAGAATCAGATCGGAGACGGTTTAAAAGGTTTAAATAAAGATTTATTGAAGGGAAACCAAGGGAGCAGCGTAAACGAAGCTGAGTTCTTGCACAGGGAGGCTGGTGCGGGAAAACTGTGGACAGATCGGAGTTAGAACCAGTTTGCGGAAGGAACGGGAAGTCAGACTTGTGCGGAGGACTTACGGTCTGGAGAGGAGGGAACTGATTTGAGGGAGGAGTGGTCCAGTCTAAGTTGAGTGGCTTGCAGGGACTGAGATCCAGAAGTGAGACGTGGAGGGAGCTGAGTTTATGGAGGTCCAGGAAGTTTAGGTGGGCAGCTGGAGGTGGTTCTGGCCAGGGGAGAGGCTGAGAGATGTGCGAGGTTGGAGATCCAGGTGGTGTGGACTCCAGAGTTCTGCCAGTCCAAGATGAGTGTGTAGGTTTGTCTGGGAACAAGAGCAGGAGGTCAAAGGGCAAAAATCCAAAACTCATTAAATTCTTAAAAATCCAAAAACACAATCTAATTCTCAAAAGGCTTAAAGAGCTTGAACAAGATAAACTAGCGGCTGTTAGAAGGTACCCAGGTAGAGTAATCATCCAGGGAAGTGTAGGAGTCTCCCAGCTGCTTAAATACCCCTGGCCAGCTGATGAGCAGATCTGCTGCAGCTTGGTCACCTCCAGACACGCCCACCTGCAGAGGGAAACTCAAAAGACAGGGAGTGACAGCAGGGAAATACCTCAGACCGTGACATCAGAATGCTGCTGCTACTAGAGTCTTAACAAGAAGAAGAAGCAGAAGAAGAAAAGATCTTTTCTAAAAGTGCCTTTCAAGATAAAAATCACAAGGTGCTTCACAAAAACGAAAAATATAAAAAATAATTTAGAAAATGATTAAAATACATTTTAAATGAGCTAAAAATAGACACTTGTGGTAAAAAAATTTAAAGAACGAGAGGGAGTGAATAGGAAAAGCAGAAATCAGTGGATCCTGAGGAAGGTGGAATAGGTAGGGAGAGCAGAACAAGGAGAGAGTGGTGATGAGGGTCACACCACAGCCAGCTTGAACAAGTGAGTCTTCAGCTGCTTTTTAAAGGAGACCACTGAGTCCACTGATCTCAGGATCAGGGGAGAGAGTCCCAGAATCTTAGAGCAACAGCAGCAAATGATCTGTCACCTTTGGTCTTTAGCCTGGTGCTGCACAACCAGTAGGCTTTGATCACTGGACCCAGGGACCTGCTGGGGGTGTAGGGACTAAGAAGATCACCAATGTAAGATGGTGCTTGTCCATGTAAGGCCCTATAGGCCAGAACCAGGATCTTGAAATGAACCCGGAAGTTGACTGGCAGCCAGAGAAGCTGGAGGAGAAGCGGGGTGATGTGGGTGTGTTTGGAGGACTTGGTCAGAATCCGAGCACAGGCATTCTGAACTAGGGTTGGGAATCGAGCATAGAGCATCGATTGGAACCCGATCCAACCGTTCATTTTTTCCGGAATCGCTCAACATTTTTTATTTCAATTCGTAGTTTTGATTCCTAGAATGCCGATGGAAGAAGAATCCACGGCCAATCTCCATGAAAAATAAACAGGATCTGCTAATTGTGATCAACGCTTTTCAGAGCTGATCACACCAGCTGTCTGTGTGCAGCACCGAGTCCCCCCTCCCCCCACCCGGATATAAACAAACGTGTCTGCCGAACTTTTACTCCGTAATGTAAACTTTAATTCCTGCAGCTTAGAGGAAGCTTGTTAAAAGACGTCAACACGGTGGATTTGATAGAAGCTTTAAAGAACAAACTCTGGATGGTGTGAGGTGAGTTTGTCTCACTGCAGAAAAAAAACACACGGAGCATCAGCAGTCAGACACGTGAGCGTCAGAAGGCAGAACAATAACCTGTAGAATAATTAAAGTCATCATGTTAGAGCAGCTTTCTCTGGGGTGGACCACACCAGCTTCTGCCACATTAAATAATAATAATAATAATAATAATAATAATAATAATAATAATAATAATAATAATAATAATAATAATAATAAATCACACACAAAGTTGTGAACATTTTAATTTCCATGTTGAACTATTTCTGTTGAGAGTTTTCGTCTTCGTCTTCGTCTTCGTCTTCCTCCGCTTATCCGGGTCCGGGTCGCGGGGGCAGCATCCCAATTAGGGAGCTCCAGGCCGTCCTCTCCCCGGCCTTGTCCACCAGCTCCTCCGGCAGGACCCCAAGGCGTTCCCGGACCAGATTGGAGATGTAACCTCTCCAACGTGTCCTGGGTCGACCCGGGGGCCTTCTGCCGGCAGGACATGCCCGAAACACCTCCCCGGGGAGGCGTCCAGGAGGCATCCTGACCAGATGCCCAAACCACCTCAACTGGCTCCTTTCGATCCGGAGGAGCAGCGGTTCTACTCCGAGTCCCTCCCGAATTTCCGAGCTCCTCACCCTATCTCTAAGGCTGAGCCCGGCCACCCTACGGAGGAAACTCATTTCGGCCGCTTGTATCCGCGATCTCGTTCTTTCGGTTATTACCCAAAGCTCATGACCATAGGTGAGGATTGGGACGTAGATCGACCGGTAAATCGAGAGCCTGGCTTTCTGGCTCAGCTCCCTCTTCCCCACGACAGATCGGCTCAGCGTCCGCACCACTGCAGACGCCGAACCAATCCGCCTGTCGATCTCCCGATCCCTCCTACCCTCACTCGTGAACAAGACCCCGAGATACTTAAACTCCTCCACTTGAGGTAGGACCTCTCCC